TTATGAGGCAGTTCATATTGGTTGGTAGAACCAATTGACACTAGATTTAACAGTAGGCATTCTAAAAATGCACTGAATGAATAGTGTTATGAGGCAGTTCATATTGGTTGGTAGAACCAATTGGCACTAGATTTAACAGTAGGTATTCTAAAAATGCACTGAATATAAAGTATTATGAGGCAGTCCATATTGGTTGGTAGAATGCCTGCGGAGGGCAGACAAACGACCAAGGCTTGCTCTGAGTAATGTCGGCTTAAGAAATTCCCCTTCCGATCGGTATGGCGTACGATCCCCGCCAAAATTCGTGCTTTGAATTTGACATTCAAGTTTCAAATTCAACATACAAATTTTACACTCGACATTCAAATTTCGAATTTTACGCTCAAGTTTTGAACTTCAGCATTCAAGTTTTATATTCTACATACATAGTTTGAATTCGGCATGCAAGTTTATATAGCGTTCGAGAATTTTTAACTCTTCTTTTGTATCTGGCATCAATGGACGACATTAAATTTTTATTCGCGCCTTCCCTTCCCGGGCGTCTTGCGTCTTGTTACTCGTTATGTGATGTTTACCGCATCATATTTCGAACTCGACCTCGTAAATTTTCAACTCGACTTTTATATTTTCGTTTACGCTTCAGTGATCTTGAGATGGGAAGCCTAGACATTCTACTAACCACAGGCGAAAGCATGGCGGCAGAGTTCGCTCTTACCGTCGTACAAGAAACTTTAGAGAGTATAGATGCCTGTCAGGATGGTGATTACAGTGGTATTTTGCTTCGATTAGAATATTTAAATCGAATCCTTATAAACAATGGGGAATTGACGGATTCTGTTGTGGCTGGAATAGGATCTGCCGTAGCATGGTCTAGCATCTCTATCTAGCGCACAGCTAGGGTGAAGCTCTTGGGCCTATAAGTCTTGAAACACGTCGATTTTCTTCGCTATCTTGCATCTTCACCSCTTCACGATAGATGCATGATAGGGCGCTAGGTCTAACACACRTACAATTTCGGTTCTACCTACATATGAGCTCATCAYACAAACTTACAAGCAGATTATTTTTCGATACATCATTTCAACACCGCTCCCTCCACACGTGCCATCGCCATACGCGGCGTATCTACGCTATTCCCCACGCTATTTTTAGATTTACCCCTATAAATCACATATTTTCCTCATTTGCCCTTTACATTATTGCTGCTACCAATTTCCTATATCTAGTTCCTTTCTATAATATCCGTACGAAACTCATTCTCCTCCATGTCCTCGTGCTCTATTAATAATCTAACGCATTCCCTCACACTTTTACGCACCAAAAACCCTTTCCCCTTTCCCCTTTCCCCTTGCTTGAGTCCGAATACCTGTGTCTTCCAAAGTATTCTCGAATTAACTTTCGGGATTCTATGCTTTAAATTTGCAAAGCATTATGGACAAATTATGGACAAATTCTATCAGCTGACTTCCTCCCCTCCTCCTCCTCCGAAGGCTTCCCATCTCAAGATCACTGAAGCGTAAACGAAAATATAAAAGTCGAGTTGAAAATTTACGAGGTCGAGTTCGAAATATGATGC